TGCCGCTGTGAAATTAGGCCTTGCGGGATATGGCTGTTTGTCATTTTGATGTATTTTAAATAAATATATATATATATTTTTAAAGAGTCTTTTTTACCAGTTCAAAAAGTTTTAATTAACCAGCAATCACCACATCTGAATTTTCGTCTCTGGGGCATAGATGGGAGGCAAAGATCAAAAGCGGTAACTCAGCCATCCGACTGCGGGCTGCCTGCCTGGGTGGACCTGCTGCCCGGGGGTCACCGAGGCGAGGGTGTTCCCCTTGGGTTCCGACCCTGCCCTTGTGGTGTTTGGTCTCTGCCCTGTTCGGCGGACTGTCCACTTGAGTCCCTGCAAGTGCTTTAGCCCAAAGTGGGGTTTTTCTCCGCGAGTTCCGTGTACCTTAGCCAAATACTTTCTCCATAAGGGAAAAACACGCTCGTCCAAATTTTACCAACAATGACAGAGATGAGAGCAGGAAACATTAGGCAGCATTCGGGCTTTGATTTGGGAAGCATCCAAGTCATTGTCAAATGCCACCTGAAAGCCAGTGATCATACAGAGATTCCTAGGAGATCTCATCTGAAAGTGTTAAGACCTCCTGCGAGAGGAGGGAATCTGAACGCCAGCGGCTTTTTCCCCCTATTTTTTTTTTATTTTTAGAATTCTGTAAAACTGCAAAGAACATTGAGTGGTACTTGAGAGTTGCGGGCGAGGGTTGCCGCAGATTAGAAACATACTTCTAGATTTCAATTCCATGCCACAAATCAACACTATGCCATTTTTCAACTGTACAAAAAGAATCTGCTTTGGATTTGACATGATCTTAATAACGGTAGTGTCAAAGGCCGAATTTTTCACCTGTGAATATTTTCCACATTTGTCCTCGAATCTGAATAACTCTACAGTACTGTAAATTGAACTGACATCGAGTTTGATGTCAATGCTTGTGAAAAGAGCTTCTGCATGTCACAGACACGTAAAGAACACAGCAGCAGGGTACACAATTTGCCGGACCAATTTCGGAACCAACAGAAAGTGTCACCTCTCATTTGCCATCTTATATATCAGTTTTTACCAGCGACTTCTAAATCTGTACATTATTTGTAAGGAGAAGAAGGAAAACCCTAAGACGTGTCTAACTTAGTGGAGAATGTGTGTGTTGGGGTTAGGATGATAGCGAAGTCTTCTTGAGCTGTGTTATCGAACTTGTATATAAAACATTGTAATTAAAAGTTTGGATTCACCTGTTTCTTGCCGTTGTAAAACGAGTAATTGCAAACTCTGGAACTGTGACTAGTGTATGATTTAAGGTGTAGAAGCGAAGAAGCTCTTCAAATACTAAAACGAAAGACTTCTCGTTTGGGGCTCAAATTCAATTAAGTACTGTGTGTCTACCAGGATATGTGAGATGTAAATGTGATAGGTCACTTTCACCCTTGTAGCTATACAATAAAAATTTTGTAGAACAGAAATAGCTTGTACTACTGAATTAACAAAAGTTATACTAAAGTATCATGTTTTTAAAAACTATATATATATATATATATATACACAGAGTTAAGCTTGTTGCTGTTACCCTGTCTGGATTTGAAAAGTGTGCTGATATATATATTACACACACAGATATATTATATACATGCACACATCTAAAATGGCCTAAAGCAGACATCCATGTAATGACAGTTGCAAAATGAAGACATTTTGGGAAGAACGTTGTATCATAGTTCATTCATTTGCAGTGGATCTTTGTTCCTTTTTACTGTGGTAATTTTAGAAATGAGTGTCAAGTTTGAAATTAGCTCTGCTAAGTTGGGGTTTTGCTGCTTGAACTCTGCACTGGGTCCTCAAATAAACCGATGTGAATGTAGTTTTTTTTCTCCCTGTGTGAAGAAGCAGCCACACCCCAACAGAATAGGAGGAAAAAATCTAGAACTATTTCAAGTTTTATCTTTTTGTATATGAAAATAAAATAATAATAATAATAAAATCCTGTTGTCTCTCTTAATCACATGGCAGGGGTTGAGGTTTCTTTTCATGGGAATGAGGAATGAATAAAAGGGTGTTCTTCCACTGACAGGGCTGACTTGAACACCTCTGTGAGTTCCTGCTTGGTACACATGTGGTTGTTAATGTCTGAGTACCTAGTCTACCATAGTCCTACGGGGATGGAGACATGGCTTCTAAATGGACTGCCCTGGGGCTTTGGCTAAGTTCCTGTAGGGCAGGGGTATGTTCTCCAAATCTCCCAGATCCCCCACACACATATACCTTCCCCCCCCATACCAGTCTTACACTTTGCAGGCAACCCTGAACAATGTTTTTATAAGCAGAGCAGAAGAGCCTAGAAAATCGGTTATGTTCAGGGCTACTGCAGAATATACACGGCCATTCCCAAACATGGCTGAGGACCAGGATCACTTGCCAAGCTATTAAAAAGTATAGTTCTGGGGCACCACCCCAGATCTGAGTCAGCAAGCTAGGTATCATGTTTTGGAGTTGCCAACTTACCTCACTAAATGAAACATGATTCCCTGCTAAAAAATAAAATAAATAATGGTAGTCTCTACTACCAAACAAACAAAAAAAACAACAAAACACCAAAAACTAGGAAGTTCCCATAAATCACCTGACTACTTGCTGCGGTAACATTAAAAGAACTTTTTGGCCTGTGACGAATACGTGGTAAGCAGAGAAATACCAGCTTTAAATCCTTCCAGGAGGGTTGATGCCTTTTTATTTACCCCTTATTAGAAGGAAATAACCTGTTTGGAATTCTTAGGGAATAATTTCTAATGAAGGAGTCCTTTATTTAGGGAGCAGTTGGCCAGTGTTTGGTTTATTTTGCTCTTTCAGATTTAGAAAGTTCACCTTTTATCAGTGAGGGCCCCTGATGCTGAGCACAGTTGAGGAAGGCACATTTTTGAATGGGGGACCTTGAAGCTAGAAACGTTGGAAGGTTGGACTGTGGGAGGCATTTGGCCAGACTTTTCCTTCAGCAAAAAAATTTTTTCCCCAAAAGTAATTGTACACAGAAGGTGGTTTGTAAAAGCAGGCTTGCCCAAGTGAGCAAATGGAAGAGGGATTAACGGCCATTCAACCTGCCTTCCCTTAGGTCTCAAGTGCCCCTGTGGAACACTAGGGGTCCCCTGATTACAGTTTAAAAACTCCATTTTTTTTTTAATCCTCACCTGCGGATATTTTTCCATTTATCTTCAGGTAGAATGGGAGGGCGGGGGAGAGGGAGAGACACATTGATGTGAAAGAGACACATCAATTGGTTGCCTCCCACACGATGAAAACCAGGGACGGGGATGAACTGCAACAGAGGTACGAGCCCTTCACCGGAACTGAACCCGTGACTCTGGTCCTCCGGCCGACGCTGCAACTGCTGAGCCAAACTGGCCAGGGCTTACTCCCTTCATTTTAAAGGTGGGCAAACAGGCCCAGAGGGAGGTACCCTACCATTTCTTGACTTCTGGGGGCCAAGTGTGGAGTTCACTGTTTCCAAGTATGGGATCTGGATGAGGAAGAGTCACCTGCCATTTGTCTGTCTAGTGTTTAGCACAGTGCATGGCACTTTGGCGGGCCCTGCAGAAATGCCTCTGAAGTGAATGTGTGTATTTAGTAAAGTCTAGTGGAAGCTGCCAAAGTACCTTTGAAACCTGTAGATACCAGTCAGCATTGCCTGGCTGTATTTGTCAGGACTCGGCTGAAAATGATGGGGGGTGGAAGGGGGTGGGTTTCACCCGTGGGATCCTGAGGCAAGTGGCCAGCCAAGCCTTGGGTAATGGCAGGGTGTATCTGGGTTTAAGGAGCCTTTGAAACTTGGGTCACAGCATCACAGGCCTTCACCTGAGTTTCAGCCTTTCTTCCTCTGGTTCAATGTGACCAGATGCATCAGCTCCTTTGTCTACTTAGCAGGAAACAAGGCTGTAGGCAGTGCCCGAGTCTTATATGTCACAGCTTGCTGCCTGGAAAGACTCCCAGATCCAAAGTCCTTGGAAAGCCCCTGGTGGACCTACTTCAGTCAATTAGGGTCAGAGGCCCAGGGCATTGCACCAAATGACTTCATGGGCGGCATTCCTGAGGAGGGGGCACGGGGCCATGGAAACTGTCTACACTCCTTCCGCTGGTGGCTACAAATGTCTTGTTTAGTGAACATGGGATGCTGGGGATCGTGCTGAAAAATGAATAAGACCCATTTATTTGTGCGTGGGAGTGCATAAAACATTGTCAGCAGCCTGAATTTTGTATTCCTATCAAGGTGGAGATAACTAAGTAAAAATTGCTAATATTTACAGAGCAACATGCCCCAGGTTCTTTCCTGAACACTTTAACATGGTTCATCTCTTCTGATTATCACAGAACCCTATGGTCTATGCAGTATTAGCATTCCCATTTTAAAAAGAGGAAAAGGAAGCCTAGAAAGGTGAAACAAAGCACCCCACGTGGAAAGTGGTTGAGGGGGGATCAAGACCCCGGCCCTGATTTCGGATCCTGAGCCACCGAGGAGCACTGTCTCGCCAAGGAACGCCTCAGGAGGACCGAGCGCCTTTTTAGAAGTGATGATTTGTATACCATATGACTTCAAGGCCAGGTGTCATGAAGACATCCCATGTGGCACAGGCTTTGGAATCAGACCTGAGTTAGAATCTCGGCTCTGAGTCTGAGGCTCAAGTGTTTACTTATCTATTAAGTGGGACTAGATTAAAGGTTTTTGTTTTTGTTTCCTCAGGACTGTATATACACATTACTCGGCCTTCAAGTCGTCACGCTCCCACCCATCACCTGGTCAAGTGCCCCAGGGATGGAGGGGGATGCGCTTGGGCCTCCAGGTTTGTCACCAGGGGGAGCGCGAGGCCCTCGGCGGAGGGGGCGTGCGTTCGCAGTCCCGGCCTCCCGAGTTCTCCTGAGAGCCTCAGGTTGCGCATGCGTGTCTCGGTCCCGCTGCTGTGATTGGCTGGCAGGCGGCAGAGCCAGCGTGCGCACGCGCTGTAGCAAAAGGCAGGTACCTCGGGCAAGATGGCTGCCAAAAGTTTTGCATCCCGCCTCAGAGGCTCCCGGCGCTTTCTCCGTGGCTTCGTGGCCGGAGCTGTGGTGGGCGCCGCGGGAGCGGGGCTCACGGCCTTGCAGTTCCTCCGGAGCAAGGGCGCTGAGGCTGCGTCGGCGGCGAGGGAGCCGGAAGGTAAGTCGGTGGGCCTGCTCTCCCTTCCCCGACCCAGGTGTCGAGCCCGGAATCCTACCTCGGGCGTCAGTGGGTCGTGTTCCTCCTCCGCGCGGGGCTGCCTGCCTTCTCCCCGCCCGTGCTTCTGGGCCTTTCTAGTCTCCGTGTTCGGCCTCCTCTGCCCACGTCCGGTCTAGCCCGCCTCTTTCAGCGGCTTCCTTCCCCCGGGGATCTTCGTCTCCCGCCCCGGGGAGCTGCCCGCCCGGGTCGTCAGCCCCGTGGCCGCCCGGGCCGAGTCCGTGTCCGCGGAGTCGCGGCCGGGGCGCGGTCGGCGTGCAGCGGGCAGGGCGCCTGAGTGACCGCACGTTCCTTACTGGTCTCGTCGTCGCCGACCGGAGAATGCCTGCTAGCCCTGCTTCGGAGTGCGTGCACCCCAAGTGTCCGGGGGCTCGTGCTCCTTTTCACACGGCCCCGGCACGCCGTTTGCCGTGCGCCTCTGGTGCTTGGCGGCCGGCAGAGAACGGGGCGCCGGGGGTTGAAAGGCCAGAGAGGCGTCTTTGGAACCGACCGCGTTGGGTGCGCGCCTGGCTTCCCCGCCACGTGCTGCAGCATCCGCCCAGGTCAGCGGTGACCGTCTTGTAAACAAAACGGAAAGGGCCGTACTTAAAAACTTTTTAAAAATTAATTTATTAAAAAAATTTTTTTTCTTTATTGATTTTAAAGGGAGAGGGAGGGAGGGAGAGAGAGAAACATGGATGAGAGGGAACATCACTGGCCGCCCCCTCCTGCCCCCACTGGGGATCGGGCCCACAACCTGGGCACGGCCCGACCGGGAATCACCAGCGACCTCTTGGTGCCTGGGCGGACGCTCCACCACGGAGCCGCACCAGCGGGGCAAAAGGGCCTACTTCAGTCCCCGCACTAACTCCTAAAACACACTGAGCAGGGCAGCCCTTCCCATTCAGTCCAGCAGTGACTAGTGATGACAAGAGTTTTTCCTTTGCTGCTTTTGTACACAGTGCTTTGTGGGCAGAGATCTGAAATTTTGATGTGAAAGACCAGTTCAGATCAGATCCTTATTTAAAAGTGAATGAGATAGTTATTATTTATCTTTTTTATTTATTTATTTTTTCTTTATCGATTTTAGAGAGAGAGGAAGGGAGAGGGAGAGGGAGATAGAAACATCAATGAGAGAGAACGTCGATTGACCTTCTCCTGCATGCCCCCCACTGGGGATTGGGCCCACATCCTGGGCATGTGCCCTGACCCAAAATTGAGCTGGTGACCTCTTGGTGCATGGGTCAGTGCTCAATCAGTGAGCCACACGGGCCAGGCTACAGTTTATCTTGCTATAACTATATGACTGATTATAGGCAAAACCTATATTTTATCTGCTGTCTCTTTTCTTTGTGTTAATAAGTCATTGCAAAAATGAGATCTCTTGGTTGATTAGACTTTGAGCCAGTCCCTGGTAAGTCTTACCTCTCTTCCTTTACTTACAATTTTTGTTCCTAATAAGAGTCACTGTTATTTTTCTTTTTTTTTTCATTTTTAGGTTCTGCGGAAAAGGCTCTCTTGGAACAATTTGGATTTCCTTTAACTGGAACAGAGACTAGGTGTTACACTAATCATGCCTTGTCTTACGACCAGTCAAAGCGGGTGCCTAGATGGGTTCTTGAACATATATCCAAAAGCAAGATAATGGGTAGGTGGTTAGAAGTGAAGTTATTGATGAAAGATGTTTCCAAATTTAGAACAAGAGCCATTATTGATCATCTCAACCTTTTTCATATTACAGCACATTTAGAAAATGATGTTTGTGTGGCTCAGTAGGTAAATGGACCCTGCCTGGTAGCCAGGGAGCCCCAGACTCTTCCCAACTGCCTCAGTGGCTGAGAGGATCTGTATCCTGACACATAAATATGTCATAAATATTGCTGTAATAAGCCCCATTCATTCGTTCTCTCCACAAATATTTTTTAAGTGCCTGCTATGTGTCTGACACTGCTAAACCTTGGTGACCAGAGCAGATGGTCTCTACCTCCCTGGCACTTTGAGTTGGAATGGGTATGGGTTGACCTATCTAACAAATAATCATGAATATATAATTATAGTTGGTGATAACTCTTCTGAAGGAAACGTGATTGCAAGTTGGGTTTGTGTAGGTCAGGAGTTGGTAAAGAGTATGAGAGATTATAACGAGAACCTGATTTTGGTTAGCGAGGCTTCTCTGACAAAGCGACCTGAGGGTGGATGGCAGTCACCTAGGCAGGGGAGTTGGTGGGCCATTCGATGTGGAGGAGAGCATTCCAGGCAGAAAGAAAAGCACGGCTGCATCTTTCACGGCCCCAGTGTGAAGAGTATTGTTCCTTTGGGGGACTGAAAGGAGGCCAGAGAAATGAGACTGGACAGGTAGGTAGGTTTGTCAGGTCTGTTCATGTGTCCTTATGTCCTGGTAGGTTCCTGTAATTAAGATGACCAGATCTTGGCATTTAATGTCAAATTGATTTTTGGGTAGATTATTTCAATTTATACTTCTGCCGTCACTATTTGTCCTATCTCTCCCAACCCTCACCCATAATGGGCATTATTAGGCTTTATCAGTTTAATAGCTAATTTTACTTGCATTTATTGGTTGCCAGTGAGGGTTAATATTTTGTGAATTATTCTTTGTGAATTATCCTTTACTATTTTCAGTTGGAATATTCTTTTTAAAATTGATTTATAGGCCCTGGCCAGTTTGGCTCAGCGGTTAGAGCGTCGGCCTGCGGTACAGAGAGACCCGGGTTCGGTTCCCGCTAAGGGCACGTACTTCGGTTGCAGTTTGTCCCCAGCCCTGGTTGGTTGTGCGGGTGGCAGCCACTCGATGTGTCCCTTTCACGTCGATGTTTCTCTCTCTCTCTCTTCCTCTCTCTCCCTCCCACTCTATCTGTACAAAAAATGGAAAAATGTCCTCAGGTGAGGATAAAAAATAAAATTAAAAAAAAAATTGATTTATAGTAATTCTGTTATATAGTACAGATATTTCCTTTTGTTTTATTCTCACTTTGTTATTTGCCTTTTAATTTGCTATATGGCCCACAGATTATATCTCCTTTGCTTTACAGTGCATGCCAGTGTTATGCATATGAAAATGCTGATATTAAAATGAATGCATGCTGTTACAGAGTATACACCAACCAGCAGAACAGCAGGAGGCTTGGAATATGCTTGCAGCTAGAGGGAAATGATGTAGGTGTCAGCTTCATCATAGCAGTTGAGACTTGATTGTAAATTTGCATCAAGACTAAATTTGATTTAGTCTCAAGCCTAATGAGTTTCCTTTAAATGCAAAAATTTTCTCCAGATATAAGGAATTAATTTTATCCTGTTATCCAGTTATTTCTTTCAGAGGCATATAAGAAAAGCATTGAGTTTCAGACAATAAACCCTGTAAGCTGTGTAAGGTTTTAAGGAGGTAAAATAGAGCCAATTAATTATACTTGAAAACAGAAAAGAATATACCTGTGATTTACTTGATTTTAGCGTAAAGCATTTTGTTTTTAGTTAATCTGACTAACTCTCCTGCTAACATCAAGAATGTTATTAGCGGTATGTAAAAAGTATATTTAAAAAAAAATCATAAACGAAAATGAAGAGTTAATATGTTTGAGAATTGCCGGGCTATATATCTAATATACAGTTTGCATTTCAGATTTGCCAAATTGTTCCAGTTATGTTCTTTACAGCTTTTTAAAAAATCCAGTATCCAATTATGAATCACATAATACATTTAATTGTCATATGTCTACAGTCTCCTTTAATTTAAGACAATTTCTCTGCCAAAAAAGAAGAGAAATGTCTTTTATGACATTGACATTTATGGCATGAATTGTTGGTGATTATCATTATTAAGATAGTGGTTCTCAACTAATATTCGGGGGGAAAGCCAGAATCCAGAGAGGTAAGGTCAGTCCTGGCCAACCAAAGCCTTGTTGCCTTTGGTTCTGCAACCTTATAGGATGAGGTGGACTGAATGCAAGACCTAGGTTTCACCCAAGGTAGATTCTCTTCTAGGAGACCCTCCCAACATTAACCTGGAACCCCAGAGAGCTGCACCCTTGGGGAAGGGTGAATCAGAACTAACTTGCCTGCCCAGCATAGGAGACAACGTGGAAGGTTGTCTTGCCCTGAGCAGAGAACTGTCAAAAATGAGAAGTTCTGGGGAAGTTGAGACCACAAACTGGCTATTATGATGGTGCAGACTTGTAGCCTGAAGCCATGTAGTGTGAATAGGTCAAGGAAGTGTAAGTCTGAGCTTGGTTTAATGTGGTCCTCTACTGCTGGTAACTCCAGACACCTGATAGAAGTAAATATATGTCTTTTCTCCAGGAAGGCATCTTCATCCTAGGCCTTTAGAAATTCTCACAAGTGATTTTTCACGGGCAGTGAACACCAGGCAGACATAACCAGGAATACAAGGAAGTGATTTCAATGGTAATGACACTTGGAGAAATTTACTAATAATTCTTCTGTATTACCAGTTACTTTTTCTTTATGAAGATTCTAAAAAGCTAGATATTTGGCAATTTACTCTGAACCTTGGGAATCTAATAATTTAAAAATTATTCTTGGATGAATGAAAGACACCACAATCAGCAATTTTACTGATCTCCATTTTACACTTTCTTTTTCAGTAGCAGCCTGAGTATATTCCATTTGTCTACATAATTTTTTGTAATTTAATAAGATCTGTCTTAAAGACAGTGGAAAATGTAGTACTAGGATTTGCTGATGTCCACTGTGGCAAACTATTCTGGAGGTGTATCAGAATATAAGTAAAATTGAGATTTATTCTCTCCCATGTGGTACTCAGATATTTTATTTCAGGAATTTTCTGGATTAAGCTCATAACTTAAATGTTTGTTTTGTCATGGCTTGAGAGGCAGTAAGTAAGATATCGGAGACACTCTCCCCCTCCGCTAGGCTGTGCCTGCCCAGAACAAATTGTTTTGTGTCTATATATATCCATTATTTCAGTACATGTAAACTTGTCAAATACAGTTGTACAAAATACGATATATGGGGGTCTTTTTTAAAAGCAAGAATTTATTTGGTAGCTAAGCTTTTTATTTAAACAGCTCAGCTATTTAATTGGCCATTGTTTTTATGTAAATACATGCTATCCAGGGGATTTTTTTTCTCCTTTGACTTGAAAGGCCAGAAACAAAAGTATATGAGATAGCTACACTGTATGAAAAGCATTCTTTCCTAGACTAGTCCTTGCTAAATTCAGATGAAGTATCTGAACTATCCCAGGAACTTGGGACATGCATGCAGTCACTAACTACTAGCTGCTCAGACAGATACTGGCCAGAGCAACCAGCTTGCCTTGCATAGAGAATCGTGAGAGATATTTGTCCACTGACAACTTACCCATTTTGTGTGTTTTTCTTTAGGTGAAGCAGACAGAAAAGATTGTAAATTCAAACCTGATCCCAACATCCCTCCAACCTTCAGTGCCTTCAACAAGGACTATATTGGAAGTGGGTGGTCACGAGGACACATGGCTCCAGCGGGAAATAACAAATTTTCATCTGTAGGCATATTTTCGGGGAGAAATGGGAATACGGGGCTGTATTGTACTGTGGGACTTGGAGATTAACAACCTAGGAGCCAAACCTTAAAACTTGAGAATTTCTATACTCTATTTTTGTATTTTTTTTCTGACTTTATTTTTTTTGCTCAGATGCTGAGACGTTTAAACAGGTTGAATGAGGAACACTAATGTTATGTAAAAGGGAACTGGAAAGCCACTAGGAGCTAAAGCTACCCATTTTTATTTTGAAAAATCTCAGACCTGTAGAAGAGTTGAAAAGAGAGCAGCAAACACATTTTGATACATTTACTTTACATGTGTGTGTATAAAATTTTAACCATCGCAGACATCGTAACACTTCATTCCAAAACACATTGCTGAGGAGATTGTACCATTTAAGAATGAGGATATGTAGGTATGACAGGAGTATCATTATACCAGAAAATGTGTGCAAATGTGTTTTAGTTATTTGTGCAATAATATCTAATGTATAGTTCGCATTTCAGATTTGCCAAATTGTTCCAATTTTGTTTTTTACAGCTTTTTTTTGATCCAGTATCCAATTATGAATCACATAATACATTTAGTTGACATATGTCTCCAGTCTCCTTTAATTTAGGATAATTTCTCTGCCATAAAAGAAGAGAAATGTCTTTTATGACATTGACATTTACTGCATGAATTGTTGGTGATTATCATTAATTAAGATAGTGGTTCTCAACTTTGGATACTCATTATAGTCACCTGGGAAAGTTTTAAAAATTCCTGATGCCCAGACCTGTAACCCAGAGCAGTTAAATCCGAAACTAGAGGGTAGAACCCAGCCATAGATAGATTTATATAGATATATAGATATATATTTTTAATCCTCACTTAAACATGTGCTTAGAGAGAGGAAGGGGGAGAGAGAGACAGACAGACATCGATGGGAAAGAGAAACCTCAATTGGTTGTCCTCGGTACATGCCCTGACCAGGGATTGAACCCATAACCCAGATATGTTTTCTTACCAGGAATCAAATTGCCAACCTTTTGGTGTACAGGATGGACGCTCAACTAACTGAGCCACTCTGGCCAGGCCAGACCTCAATATTTTTAAAGCTCCCTAGGTTATTCCAGTGTATAGCCCAGGGTGAGAGCCACTGCTTGAAAAGAAGGTAATTGGTGGCTTTGGTAGCTCAGTGAAAGGAAATATACTCACAGAGCTTTGTGTTTATGGGTAGAAGTGTGAAATGAATGAACACGTAGTGGCCAGAACAAGAATGTTTCTCTGCCACTTTTGAACTGTGTTTATACGGTAATACTTAAGTAAAAGTCCTGAAAATGGACCTTTGAAGAACTCTTTGCCAGAGGCTTAAAATTAGAATTTAGCTCAAAACCCTTTAGCTTCATATTGGAAACTTTTAGTTCTTAGAGTCTACATTGTAGGTTTGAATTTTAAAAATTATGAAAAAAAACTAGTACACCAATCTACTTATTTTGTTATAGTCCTTATTTTGAATAATCCTCATTGAACTTTTTGTCCCGAAATAGATATGGCTTTCATTTATCTAAACAAGGAGTCATGTAATTGCCTAGAGCTAACACATGAATATGAAACTGGTTTTCTCAGTCTGCTTTGTAAAATATTTTAAGGGGAAGGCATTTCAGTACAAGTTACTGTTGTTATTTCTTTTCACAGAAAGCTATGGCTGAAACCTTTTACCTTTCTAATATTGTGCCTCAGAACTTTGATAATAATGCTGGATATTGGAACAGGTGAGGGGTGAGAGTTTTAAAAATGTGATTCTGTGAGAGATGAATGATGTGAGGAGAATTTACTAGTTGCTTATCAACTGTCTTTGTTTTCAGAAGCTACTACTACTGGTAGTACTTTCTGAAGTACTTTGGACTAGTTTTCTTTGCTGTATTTTAGGAGTACAGTTTTCTTTGGGAGTCGAGACTTCAAAACATGATCATGCTTGCCACTGGTCAGAAGTCAAATTCTGGAAGAAACTACTAAAAATATTATTACTGAGGCATAAAATAGTTTTGAATATGTCCAGAGAACACCATATTTTCCACTACTTGTATTTCAAGAGTTGCTAGCCTTAAAAAGTTTTTGGTACAATTAAATATAACCATTCACCAGTTTTTCAATCAGTTTGGTCAGTGTATCTCTTTAAGCGTTTAAAACAAGCATTAAGGTTGTTTAAGCTGTTGTTGATTAAGGTTGTTTCAAGCTGTTGGGTTTTCCCCAAAGCATACTTTTGTGGCTTAAAACGGGAATGAAGAGAGTACCTGACACTAAAAAAGACTTCGTAACGATCAGTTATCAGGCACGGCCCACATCATTTCATCTACACACCCTCCCTACCCAACTCGGATGGTTGTGAGCAGGTCACAGATGTGCTTATACTACTTAAGTATGTATTTTTAGAAGATAAGGATTCTTTTTAAATAAAACTATGGTACTACTATTGTCCCTCATAAATTTAATAGTAATTCCTTATTACCAGTTTTACAATCAGTGTTCAAATTTTCCTGATTGTCTTTAATTTTTTGTTGTTGTTGATTGGTTTGAATCAGGATTTAAACAAGGTCTACATGTAGATATGGGTGATAATGGCGATATTTCTCCTCAGTCCCTTTTATTTTATTTTTCCTTTATTGATTTGAGAGAGAGAAGAAGGGAGAGGGAGATAGAAACATCGATGAGAGAGAACATCGATTGGCCACCTCCTGCATGCCCCCCACTGGGGATTTGGCCCACTACCTGAGCATGTGCCCTGACCGGGAATCGAACTGGTGACCTTTTTTTTTTTTTTATCCTCACCCAAGGACATTTTTCCATTTTTTGTTCAGATAGAGTGGGAGGGAGAGAGAGTAAGAGAGAGAGAGAGAGAAACATCAATGTGAAAGAGACACATCGAGTGGCTGTCACCCGCATGACCAACCAGGGCCAGGGACAAACCACAACCAAGGTACGCGCCATTAGCGGGAACTGAACCTGGGTCTCTCTCGACCGCAGGCCAACGCTCTAACCGCTGAGCCAAACTGGCCAGAGCTGAACCAGTGACCTCTTATGCATGGGTTGCTGCTAAACCACTGAGCCACACTGGCTGAGCCCTTTTATTTTTTTAAATATGTTTTTATTGATTTTTTTTTTTTTAGAGAGGAAGGGAGAGAGAGATAGAAACATCAATGTGAGAGAGAAACATTGATCGACTGCCTCCTGCACCCTTCTCACTGGGGCTCAAACCCACAACCCGGGCATGTGCCCTGACTGGGAATCAAACCAGGACCTCTCAGTCCATGGGATGATTCTCAATCCACTGAGCCACATTGGCCGGGCTCTTGAGTCCCTTTTAATCTGTAGGTTTCCCTTGAAAATTATTTGTTAATAATCTAGGATATTTGTCTTATAGTTTCCTTTTCATATTCTGTCTGACTGTATACCTGTCATTTTTCTTTCCTAAGGGGTATATTTTGGGGAAGAAAGCTCTGCTTTGTTATTGGGCATATGTGGTATAAGATATGATACTGACTTTACTTTTTAGATAAGGAAACAGGAATTGTGACATGCATTCTTTTCTCATAAATCTCAAATGCAGTAGAAGAAAGTGTATATTAAAACGTTTTATCCAGTAAATGAGCAAAATCAGTTTTTTTTAATTTTATTTTTTATTCTCACCTGAGGACATTTTTGCATTTATCTTCAGATAAAGGAGGAGGGAGAGAGGGAGGAAAAGAGAGAGAGAAACATCGATGTGAGAGAGACACATCAACTAGTTGCCACCTACACAACTCCAACCAGGGCTGGGGACAAACTGTAACTGAGGTACGTGCCCTTAGTGGGAACCGAACCCGGGGCTCTCCGGTCCGCGGGCCGACACTCTAACCGCTGAGCCAAACCGACCAGGGCGCAAAATCAGTTTTTATTTTATTTTTTTTATCCTCACCGGAGGACATTTTTCCATATTTTGTTCAGATAGAGTGGGAGGGAGGGAGGGAGAGAGAGAGAAAGAGAGAGAGAAACATCGACGTGAAAGGAACACATCGAGTGGCTGCCACCCGCACAACCCAACCAGGGCCGGGGACAAACTGCAACCGAGGCACGTGCCCTTAGCGGGAACCGAACCCGGGTCTCTCCGGACCGCAGGCCGACGCTCTAACCGCTGAGCCAAACTGGCCAGGGCAAAAATCAGTTTTTAAATGACAGATCCCAGTGTGGTAAAAATTGTTGTGAAACTTGTCATTTTGCAATTTATAGAGTAAATTTGGACAATCCCATTAAAAATACTAGTGTTACATATAATCAAGTGTCATTAAAATATTCAGTAAAGTTAATATGGCTCTTGAAATTTATCCTAAGAAATTAATACAAAGTTGCATTATATAAGAAATGTTAGGATAAACCCAGTTGTCCCATAATAGGAGTGGTTAAATAAAAAGGTACCATTGTGTTGGAATGATATTTAATTCTTGTAAAAAATTTGAAAATTATAGCATAGAAAAAGAAGGGAGGAAACAACACAGAATTTCAGTTCTAAAATGTGCGTGGAATGTACACACAGTAAAATGTAGATAGTTGTATTAATGTGTGTGCTTTTTAAGTTTTTTGTGTGCAGTAAACAAACTGGAAAATGCATTGCTTATATCCTTATGATGTTTTGTGCCATATTCTCTTGTTTATATTAATGTATCTAGTTAAGTATCCTTGGCATCTTTCCTAGGGAATTGATATGGTTTGCTTCTTTTCTACATTTAAGCCTGTGAGAATATCATACATTTTTTTTGCTTTGTTTTTTAGAATAGAAATGTACTGTCGAGAACTGACAGAGAGATTTGAAGATGTTTGGATCGTGTCTGGACCGTTGACCTTACCTCAGACTGGAAGTGATGGAAAGAAAATAGTTAGTTACCAGGTAGGGACATGTTTTAACATTCAGGCTTAGGTTATTTGTTAGAGATTATAATCTCCTGTCTTCTGGGTTTTTTAAATCCTCTCCCAAGGATATTTTTTCATCGAAAATTTAGATAGAGTGAGTGGGAGGGGGGGAGGGAGAGAGAGAGACAGACAGACAGACATTGATGTGACAGAGGCACATCGATTGGTTGCCTCCCACATAGATCAAACCTGCAACCAAGGTTTGTGCCCTTGACTGGAAATCGTACCCGCATCTCTTTGGTCCGTGGTTTAACGCTCTAACTGGTGAGCCAAACCAGCCAGGGTGATCTCCTGTCTTCTGTTTCTTATTTCATTTATTCAACAGTATTTATTGGAAAACCTGTTAGAATGATAGGCATAGAGGATTTAATGATGGATTAAAAGCAACCATTGACTTCAAGGAGCTCACAGATTAGAAGGGGAGACAGACATGTTATCAATTATGTTAAAATGTCATATGCTGTAATAGAGATAAATACACAGATGAAATAGTGTCATAATGGACTGACTGACCCTATTTCTGTGGGTCAGGTAGACTTAACAGAGGAAGATATTTTTGAACTTGATCTAGACAGATGAGTAAGTGTAAACTGAGTCAGGGGAACATGGGAATGCCAGAAGATGGAGCAGTATGAGCACAGGGCATTTGTGGTCAGCAGCATGGTTCTGGGGTTTAGGTATCATTGAGAAGGAAAGACTGGAGCTTATGGAACAAAAATGTGTGGGTGGCTCAAGGAGGGTGAGGATTTCTGCAACAATAGGTAGAACAGGGGCTTTGTATAGAGTGCTTTGTATTCCATGAAGACGTGAATTTTAATTAAAGAAATTTTTTAAATTGATTTCAGAGAGAGAGAAACATCGATAATGAGGGAAACATCAATTGGCTGCCTCCTACATGTCCCCTACTGGGGATGGAGCCTGCAACCTGGGCATGTGCCTTGACTGGGAATCTATCTGGGTACCTCCTGGTGCATAGATCGATGCCCAACCCCTGATTCACACTGGCTGGGCAGTTTCTAATTTTTAGACACTGAGAAGTCATATGTTTATTTTAAACATGAGAGATACTATTTTTTTTTTTAGTTGTGTTTTTGGGTTTTTTAAAAATATTTTTAATTGATTTTTTAGAGAGAGAGGAAGGGAGAGGGAGAGAGGGAGAGAAATATCTATCAGTTGCCTCTTACTTACATGCACCCTGACTGGGGATCAGACCCACAACCTGGGTATTGAACTGGTGACCTTTTGGTGCATAGGACAACACTCAACCAACTGAGCCACACTGGCCAGACCTGTTTTTGGGTTTTATGAGGAGAATTCTAGCGCCATTGTAGAGAAGTAGGTGAGGAAGGGGGTGTTTGAAGGAGAGGTTATAGAGGCAAGGAGGTGAAATGGACATTACTGCAGTCGTCTGTTTGAGAACAGATGCGGACTGAACCCAAGCAGTTGGGAGTGAGGATGAATAGGGAATATGGGATAGGGTACCCATGAATTAACTTTTGGGTTGAGGAAGAAGGAAAAGGTCAGATGACATCCAGATTGCAGTGAGTGAAGTGAGACCAGTAAATGGGAGGAAAAGCTTTTCTTTTAGACAATTGGAGTTTTTTTTAAAGATGAAGTGTTTCTTTTTTACATGCAAGCTATTTGAGAACTTGACAGACTGAAGGAAAGAGAGATTAAAGATATAGAAGAGTATAATTAGTGTGTGAGTTTAGACATCTAATGTTGATGTCCAAGATTGAGGGTTCTGCCAAGAGGGTGGCTGAATTGATACACTGAGGTCTACACAGGTAGGGAACCAGGTGGACTGAGGAGGAGGGTAAAGTCCAAAGGGAATAAGGTAGATATTTAATAAATGCTGTTAGGTTAAATGATTACTTTAGGAAGTCTGTAATAAAATTGAATGACCTGAGAAACAGATTTAGGAAAACAAAACCAATTTTAGGGTATATTCTGTCCCATTGAGTTGCTTATTATTCGTCTGGATCAGGTGTGCAGTGATGTGAAATTATCTAGGGTGTTCACATAGGTGCTCATACCCTCAGAGGATTCCAGTAGTTCTTTTTTTTTTTTTAAATATGTTTCTATTGATTTTTTAGAGTGAGAGATAGAAAACATTGATGTAAGATAAAAACATCAATCAGCTGCTTCCTGTGTGCTCCCTACTGGGGATTGAGCCCACAACCTGGGGATATACCCTGACTGGGAATTGAACCAGGACCTCTCAGTCTATGGGATGATGCAGTCCACTGAGCCACACTGGCGGGGCAGATTCCAGTAGTTCTTATGGGAGTGAAGGAGTGGTAAAGGGGTTAGTATTTTATTTGTTTTGCATTTATCTTCAGATAGAGTGGGAGGGAGAGAGAGAAACATCTATGTGAGAGAGATTCATCAAGTGGCTGCCACTCACAGGACCCCAACCAGGGCCAGGGACAAACTGCAACCAGGCCACATGCCCCTTGGGGGAACTGAACCTGGAACACTCTGGTCCGCAGGATGATGCTCTAACCGCTGAGCCAAACTGGCCAGGGCAAGGGATTAGTATTTTAAACAGATTAATCTCTCTCCCTGATTAACTTATTAATTTAATTTTAGTATTTTTGGTAATAATAGAAGAAAAAAATGTCTTAAAGTTCCCTGTATTCTCCTATTTTTCAATTATTAACAATTCTTTGCTAAATCTTCTTTACTCTTACCATTAGAAAATAGGTTCTCTTACCTTTTTGACTTCTAAACCTTAAGTGTTCAAGTCACAGTTTTATATATTATATGCTTTGTTTTCATAAAATTAAAAGATTTATATGACTAATTTACTGTGTAGTAGAAGAAAATTTTATACAAAGTTTAAAAGGAAAAACTAACCAGTATTTAAGAACATTTCACTAAACTGTGTGTATGTTTCTAAATATGTGTTGGCCAAATGCTGCAGTGGAAAATAATTGTTTTCTATAACTTTAAGAATAACATAAAACATATTACATATTATGTATCTGCCAAAAGGGCCTAGAAACAGGTGGTACATTATTAGTAATGAATGTACCTTGAGATCAGATCATGGTTTGAAAAAAAAAAATCTGCTGAAAGAACCTAGCACTTGGAAAAGTGGCTGATTCTAGGGCTGGCACAAGGAAAGTACAAAGTGGAACATCCGCCAGAAATCAAGGAAGTACGCAAACAACTGGTGAGAACATGTCAGAAAGGACATAGAAATCAGCTTGAAGGAGTTCCAACTTACTGTGTCTGGAACTATATAATAGAAAATTAAAGTGGATTATAATTCTATTGAATTAAATAAAAATCCATACTTTTAATAAATAAGTAAATACACGGGTATCAGGAAAAGCTTACCATAGAATGTTAACTAATAAATTTGTAAGAATGGCCCTGGCCGGTTTGGCTTAGCGGTCAGAGCATCGGCCTGCGGTCCGGAGAGACCCGGGTTCAGTTCCCGCTAAGGGCATGTACCTCGTCCCCAGCCCTGGTTGGTTGTGCGGGTGGCGACCACTCGATGTGTCCCTTTCACGTCGATGTTTCTCTCTCTCTGTTCCTCTCTCTCCCTCCCACTCTACCTGAACAAAAAATGGAAAAATGTCCTCGGGTGAGGATGATAAAAAAAAAAATTGTAAGAATGAAAGAGTTAGAAAAATCATTTGCAACCATTATAGTAATGTGTTTCATGTAAGAATCATCATGGATGCTAAACCTAATAAGTGAAAATTTTATGAGGAATAGGACAATGTAAATAGGAGATATATATCTATATCTATATATTTATATGTCTATTATATATAAATATAATGACTATGATATATATCTAAAACTGTCTCCCCACAAATTAATAATAACAAAGCAAGAAATTATACCTTTACAGTAGAAAACCTTGACCAAGTGACAAGGTTAATATCGCCATAATGAGACATACTGATAAAATTGTATTTCCTGGTGTGATGCACTAAGAAGGATACAGTATCACTTCTGCCAACAAAAGCATAGCATTGAATCTCATCATGCAGAACTTTCAGTCAAACCCCAATTGAGGGATGTTCTGTGCAACAGCTGACTTGTACTCTTCAAAAATTTTGGTGTCATAAAAGACAAAAGCTGAGAAACTAATTGTTCTGGGTTGATGGAGACTAAAAAAGTCTTGGAAACTAAATCCATTGTGTGATCTTAGATGAGCTCCTAGACCAGAAAAACAAAGTTGCTAGAAAACATTTTATTGGGACAGTTGGTAACATTTGAGATATGTAGGTTGGAAAATTGTATTTTATCAGTGTTAAATTTCCTGATTTTGATAATTATACTGTAATTATGTGAGTGTCTTTGCTCTTAGGAAATATATCCTGAAGGATGTGTCTATGACTTATTTTCAAAAGTTTTAGGGAAAAGAGAGCGAGAGAGAGAAAGTGATAAAGCAAATTGGGCAAACTGTTAACAGTTGGTGAATCAGCTTTGTGCTATTCTTACAAATTCTAAATTTGCAATTCAGAATGAAACATAGTATACCATATATATTTTAATATATCTTTTCTATACCAGAATTTTTATTATACTGGAATATATCAAACTAACCACTAAAAAGTCTTAACTAGCTTCTCCTAAATAGTTTCAGTGAGTAATAGACAAGCATGTTCAAGTAGCCTTGAAGAGTGTTTCAAAAGAGACCTGTTGGCTCTCCTCGCCCTAAGTAGTGATGAAACATGCAGGGCAGTAGTCAGAATTAACTTCCTGGAGAGTATACTTTGAGTAGCAGGCTTGTTTTTATTTATTTATTTTTTTAAGTCTAATTGGTTTTAGATCTTTTCTTCCAGATTCTAGACCTCTGACCTTATTAGTTTTCTATGTCCAAATTTTATACATCTTTAATTTGGCTATTCTTTTTTTTTATCCTCACCCGAGGATATTTTTCCATTTTTTGTACAGATAGAGTGGGAGGGAGAGAGAGGAAGGGAGAGAGAGAGAAACATCGACGTGAAGGGA